ATTCGCATTAGACGTAGGTATTCCAGGAAACGAAACAAGCTGCCCCATAAGAATCAACAGCCATGTGTGACCGTGATACATAAAACTACTACTAATGATAAGGAGTGGTAGTAAGAGCAAAACTATATAATTGATGATGCATACCGTTTGTACAATATCATAACCCAAAAACAAGGATCAAATGTCTATCTAGCAGGTAACTTCAAAAACAAGCAAAGGGGGACAAAGGTATCGTCGTTTCATTGAAGGAGGAAAATAAAGTGATTTACTAGGAGGATAAAGCAAGGCACGCATCAACAGCCAGTCCGACCCTATTTGGCAGAAAGTCTAGGTTAGCTCAAACTTCAGAATAGTGAGATGGAGCATATTTCAACATACCTTCCCTCCTTTTGGTAGACCACGTCGCTGATAATGTCCTTATCTAGATCAGGAAACATGCCTGCCAGCGTCTCTACGATATTTGCGTGCTCGGCACGATGTAGCCTCTGCGCCTCGGCAACCTCTGCACTCGCCTGTCTCGCTGCCGCTTCTTCTGCGGGAAGAGGATATCTTGAGTCTGATCGCCGTCTGTCTTCGTTCTGTAAGGGCACGTTTTCAGGGAAACCCAAGGGACGGCCTATCGGTGGTGGTGGTGGTGGCCGGGGCGCTGATGATGAGGCGCCATCATCTGAGAACATGCGGCCAATTGTGGTGAGCGGATTTTGGATTGTTCGTAATAGCCCAGTGATGGGCGCGGTGATGTCTGTGTCATTCTGGTCCGTTGAGCGGCGGGGCGCAGACGGCCCTGCGCCATCATATGAAGACTCGGGGGGTCTGGACTTTTCGTTGAATATCTGCTGCTGCTGCTGGTCCTGGGGTCTCTTTGGAGACATGGCTTGGTGCTTCTCTGCGATTGCGGAGACGGCAGCCTCGACGTTTTTCTCAAACTCCTCATCGGTTATGGTTAAAGAAGTACGATCCATGTTCTCAATGAACTGAATTGCGCCCATCTATACGGAGTCAGCATCTATGCAAGGAAATGAGAAAAGAGATGATGAACGGATATGTGCTTACTAGAGAAGAGAGGTAGTATCCTGCTTCTCCACCAAGCTTCTCTTGATTTCTGAAACGCAGGATATACTGTACGTTGGACACCAAGTGCTCCGGATTTGACTGGAGTACAACGTAGATAAGCATCGGCATGAACGAATCTGCCGATGAATCCGACTTGCTGTGTTTTAAGAGGCCTGTTAAATTAGCAAGTGTCAAGTGAAGTGTAGGAAAGAGCAACAGTCCTCACCAAAGATCACTTTGCAGCAGTTCAAAACGCAAATGATTTTGTCTCTGGGCGCTCTGTACGATTTGATTTTCAATAGCTCTGGTACAACCTAGTTAGCATGGGATAAGATTGTATGTGTATTTTGTCACTGTGCTGCTAGCACCAAAATCCATGGGGTAAAGAGTAAGCTCACCCTGCTGCGCCAGCTTAAGGAAACGCCTGCCACTCTCCTCGATAGGTGGAATATCCAGATGAGCTTCCTTGACCCAGCCGTAAATGTTGATTCTCTGTGTCAGAACATCGTCCCTCTCTATATCTTCCTGATGCTGGCCTCTACGGCCAGGGCCCAGCGGCGGATCGCCTCCCCTCCTTCTTGGCTTTGCTCCAGGGATTGGTTTTGGAGGCGGAATCGCCGGGGAGAAAGTCTGGGTGTAAAGTCTGTTCATGACGAGCTTTTCCATGCCTTCACGGGCATTGTCAAACTCTGCATCCGAAACGTCTCGCCATACCTCAGACACCACCATCTTGTTCGCAATAAAGGCCAAAAAGTCGCTGATGATTTTGACCTGCTCGTGGACCATCCATTGGCGCTTTCCAAACTCGAAGAGGAACGACTTGAGATATCTTGCCACGGGATCCGCTTTCTTATTCCGCAGCTGTTCTAAAAACCTGTGGAAGTCAAAGGGAAGAGTGGGTTCGGGCTCGGGTGCTGGGGGCGGCGGTCGGTGCATGGACATGGTGGGTGACGCTGGTGAGGCAACACTGATGGGTGGTAGCCGTGCGTCTCTCGTTCTCGGAGGCGTGCCCATAGATCCGTCTTTGGGGGGCACGGGCGGTCTTTCGTCGTCACCACCGGGCGTTGAGATGTGCAGGGCATTGAGCCCCTGGAGCTGGCCAGCCAGCCCGGGTGAAAGAGGCTCGAGGCTGGATTTTCGAGGCGGATGCTGCAGCGAGGTGCCCAGCATGGGCGATGCAATTTCTAGTCTCGGGCTCATGACCTCCTCGGCATCGGGACCGCCTCCGTCCTCGCTAAACTGCTCCATGATGCTCTGGATCTCAGACTGTGAGTCCTCCTGGTCATCCTGGCCGGCATAGGGTTTTTCATCTGATTCGGGGTTGGACCTGGTGGGAGATGTCTCGTCGTCGGTCCGGGTTGTTACGGAGAGGGCTCGAGAAGGCGGGCGAGAGGCCATGGGCGTGGGCGGTGTCGGATCGATATAGCTGGGTCGCTCTGGTGCGAGAAGCAGGCTGGTTGGGTAGTTGGGCCGCATAAGTGACGATGGGTTGGCGTCGGCAGGCTTGATGGTCAGGATAGAGGAGTCGATGGCGTCGTCGGGCGTCTCGACTGCAGCTGCGGGCTCCTTGGGCGCAGTGGGTATCGTCTGCTCGTGTGCCTCGTCTGCAGGAGCTTTGTCGAGCTCCGCATCTGCGTTTGTCGGTCTGCCGGCGCCCTCGTCGCTGGCCATGGCTGTGGTCGCTGCTGGGACGGGTGCTATGGAGGAGTGCTGGGTTGAGAGCAGCTCGTTTGCGTCTGAGCTCGTAGCCGTAGCTGCTGTAGCCGTAGCCGTAGCCGTAGCTGTAGCCGTAGCCGTGGTCGTATCGGTGGCTGTTGTAGCGATCGCCGCAGGGATTTTCACGCTCGTGGCGTCTGTCCGGATGCTGCTCTCTGCGTCCGCTGCTTGGTCGGCCTCGGCATCAAGTGAAGATGTCGCTGCGGTCGCCGTCACAGACCGAGTCCCCGCGTCGTCGCCGTTGTGGCGTGCACCAGCGTCTGGATCCGCATCCGCGTCCGCATCAGGAGCCGCATGGGTCGCTGTCGTCGAGCCTTTGCGTGTCGCATCAGGCATCAGCCCCGCCGAGGGGTCTTGGATGCATGTCACCTCGGAGGCATCCGCGCTGCTGCTGCTGCTGCTGGGCTGCTCGACTCCCGGCGTGCTGGGAACTTCTGGCGGTGGCGACATGCACGTGGATCCAGCGTGAGGCGCGAGAGAAGAAGATTGATAGGAAGAGAAAAGAACGGTGACAGTGAGGGAGACGCAGAAGAGAAGAGATAGCAGGGAGGAAAGGAGGTTGTGGAAGGGAGTTGGAGAAAGGAGCAAGAGGGACGAGAGCTATGGATGCTATACCCTGGTAGAGTCGGGTGGCTGTTGGAGTGGGACAAGTTGAAGCCGCCACTAACTTGCTGCTGTGGGCGTCAACCCGAGCCCAAGTGATACAAGTGAAAAATAAAATTACAACAACAAGTCAAGGTAATATTCATGTACATGTAGTCTTTTGTCTTTGCATTCCACGTTATAAAATCATGGTGTTGGCCAAGTGATGCTCTTCAGCTGCTGCTGAGACTTTGCGTCGCCGCTGTCTCAAATGCGACTCCAGCAGTCTCAGGTTTTAGCGACACCCTCACTGGCATTTTGTCGCCAGAGCCGTTGCGCCACGTCTTTGGCCCTGTTGCTTCCGGCCGCTTAACAGTTGACAGTGGCTCGGTATTGGAGACCTTGCCCTAATTTACGTTTAGAAGATGTAGGTACTCGTTTGCACCTTGGATACCTATCCTTAGTAGTTGTATTCTGCTGTGAGGTGGGCTTTTAGCTGCGCACATCTGGAAGCAACAGCACTTCTTCTTCGCCTTGCATAAGTTGTTAAAGACTGCTGAATGAGTTACTTCTGATAGATTTTGAATTTCAAGCAGGCTAAGCGACAATAGCAGGCATCCAATGAGACTTGGTGGCTACTGGACGATCCAGCATCGGCATAGACTCATTCGCCGTCGTCATGGCAGAGTCATCAGCCGCAGCTCCGCATCTGGCACTGTATTAACCGATCTATATATTATTCCTATATTATCAACAAATGAGAGCATCTCACTATTTTCAGTTGATACCAATCAATTCTACTATAGTACTCTATGATTGAAACACAACGATCATATGCGTAGTTAATTGAACCTTGACAATACAGCCATGTCTCATCCCACCGAAATCCCCTACCGCCAAATCCGCGCCTCCTACGACGATCAACACATCATCGTCTACCAAGCCTACAAAACCTCCATTGCCGACGCCGCCATCAAGGCCCAGAAACTCAATGCATCCCCCGACTTCAGCCCCGGGCGCATGACCTGGATTAAACCAAGCTGGTGCTGGATGATGTACCGCTCCGGATACTCCTACAAAGACGCCGGCCAGAGCCGCATTCTCGCCCTCAAGATGAAGAAGCAGGACTTCTTCGGCCTCTTGGAACAGGCCGTCCTGTCTACCCATCCGTCTCCGCATGCCCACGTGGATAAAGAAAGCACCAACAAGACGGTGGCTCACGAGAGGCCAATGGATGTGAGAGTCCAGTGGGACCCGGAGCGGAATGCGAAGCTGGAGGGGCTACCGTATAGGAGTATCCAGATTGGCATTCCGGGGACGCTGAGCACGAAGTGGGCGGATGAGTGGATTGTTTCGATTGAGGATGTCACGGAGAGGGCGAGAGAGCTGAAGAAGGCGCTGGAAGAGGAGCCGGATGTTTCGACGGATGAGTTGGTGAAAAGGGGCCTGGTACCGGAGGAGAAGCCGCTGGATGTGCCGGAGGAGATTTTGACGCGGTTGGAGATGACTATTTTGGGAGTTCCCGACGAGTTATAATGCATGCCTCTATCATCTTTGTATAAAATTAGTTTGTAGCTCTTTATTCTGATATCCAGAGTTTGAAGATGCGCGTGTACGTCTAATAAGGCCATGAGCTTTTCTCAGAACTATCATCTCCTTGATTCCTTAATCGCCTCTCTCAGCTTCAAAATTACGTTATAATGCAATCTCGAGTGCCGGCTTTCTAGGTCAAACTCAACTCGCAGCACCTCATTCAGCAGCTTATGCTCCATCACTCTGTCTTCCCTCGCCAGCACATCGTCAAACTGTCCCGCCGCAACCTTGTCCTTTTTCACAAACGCATACCATGGCACTGTGTACAATGAAGGTGTGCCCAAGGGATTGGGAGGGTGAGGCTCCAGGCCTATCACGAGACACGTGCGCCAGCTGTTCCATCCGCCATATTGCTTGATCTCGAGCTCCAAGAAGCCGAGTTTGGTCGGCTGTGTAGGCTCAGTGGCTCCCAGGTCGGAATCGGGGTCAAAGCTAAGTACAAATGTTCCGCTTGCGTCGGATGGTGTTTCTTCAAGGGCCGAGCCTCGTCGGTTTAGGCTTCCTGGGAAGGTGTTTGCTGAGGCACTTGTGGGCTCATCGAAGAGCCAGTCGGCATCATTGGAGAGCACGCCGATCATAAAGGGCTTATCATGATTTAAGGGTACCACTTCGGGATGGAACAAGATGCCCCGGGGGGATCGCCGCGTGGATAAATTATGCGGGACGAATATCGGTCGAGGCTGAGCTTCTGAAAGGCGATCGTAGCCCAGGCGATAGCGTCTGAGATCTTTGGCGACCTTCATGCGGTTCATTGATACCATTAGCAAATGGTCTGTTCGTATGCGGACGAATTCTGTATCGTTGTGCCACTGCGTCTTTTGGAGGATAATGGCTGGTGTCAGCTCATGCGAGACTTCATCTCGGCCCATGTCGCAGTCTAGCACTGCGATGAAGATTGTGCCAGATTCATCTCGAGGGTGAGGTGTTAGAGCGAGTTCAACGTCTAGACCGCGGCTAGAAACTGCAGCTACATAGTTTGAGCTCCGTGTGAGGTATCTGAGTACGTGAAAAGGAAGTCATTAGCTGTGAGCTTCATATAACAGTAATAAAATCCACACCTTGCTCTTTTGATCACATAGTCACCGCCTTGATGTCCAAACGCTGCAGGACTCTCTGCCAAGAGACCCCAGAAGTGCTGTCTCTTGGATAATTCCTCAGGATATCTCCAAGCGTAAATAGAGTCATCATTCGTAGACTTGATAATCTCCTCCTGCAGCCGCTTGAAAGCCTTGACACGGCCCTCTCCATACAGCAAAGGCATGTTAATGTCGAATAGCCCGAGCAAGCAGTATGCCATGTCTTCTGGCCGGGTGGTCTGGCGATTAGCCGCCCAGCTCATCTTTTCTGCAATGGAAAAGTCATCCAAGCTCTGTTGCTGGCCGCTGGTGTGCAGAATCACGGCCGGGATCAAGGACACTCTCGTGATGGCTTCCTGGAGAGACGTTCTAGTGCCGATGAGCTCCCATTCTTGAGAGTAAAAGTGCACCTCGGGGGGAGCAATCAGCTCTTGCAAGGTCCAGCCTCTGCTAAACCAGCGGCATTGGGCAAACTGAGAGCCGTCTTTAGTTGGGTCATCTACTGATGAGACGTCCTCGAGATATGCGATGCAGACTCCGGCCTTTTCGTACCATTGAAACATGGAGTTGATGGCCTCAGACAGTTCTGAACTGCTTTTTTTGTCGATACAGCAAGTATCTATCCAAATGTAATCGAAGCCCAGACGAGCTGCTACTTCACAGCTCCGGCGTATCTTGTCCCAGCCTTCAGAGTCCGTCGTCTTTTCCTTGGCCAGGAGGTCCGCTAGCGTTACTTCATCCCTGCCCCATGTGTGAGATAAGATGGCATATCGAACCTCTTCATTGGTAGCAAAGACCTCGAGGTCTTGAGATTTGGTGTTTAGTAATAGCATTTGAGGAATATTGTTACAAATGAAGAAATCTAAATTTAAAGCGAATTCGCTCTGTTGATCGCCAGAACACGCGACGCCCACGGCTTAGGCAGGCATCCCAGCATTTAGCCTCAGTGGGCCGTGCATAAGCTGAAGGAGCTGCATCCATGAACTGGGCTATTGATGCGCTACGCAGATGGACTTGTTTCATCGCTTGCTTAGTATGCTTAATTGGGTTGACAAGGGCCAAAATCTTGTTACAATCTTGTTGCAAGCTACATGTACTTTTCCTCATGATACAACTATATACTGCTGGCAGAAAGTTGACATTTGACTTAGACAACATTCTTGTCGCTGTACTTGTCGTTCTGCACAATCTCAATCCAGTAACCGTCGGGGTCCAGCAAGAATGCAACATTGCGCATGCGGCCATCCGTCAGCCTCTTCTTCCAGTTGCACTTGAGGTCCTCGAATCGCTGGCAAGCAGCGTCCAAGTCGTCAACAGAAACGCCTATAACTTTTGTGTTAGATTGAAATTTTTACAGCAACTCATTCAAATGAGAAATGCTCACAGATGTGACCAAAGCCTTGAGGCTGGTCGTTGCCATTGTGGTAGGAAAAGTTCTCATCCTTCTCGGTACCGTAATTCCAAGTCAACTCCAGCAAGCCTTCGCGGTCGCTTGTTCGGCCATCTTGAGGGACACCCTGGGTGCCAGGGTAGCCGAGGAAGTAGAGGTTGAAACCCGAGTCGGGAGATTCGTTGGTCCTGAAAAGAGACATGCCTAGAACATCTTGGTAGAATTTGAGAGACTTTTGGGGATCCTTGACACGGATCATGGTGTGGTTCTGATAACCAGAAGAGTCAGTAACTGAATTCCCGTGAGCTGAGGACAGTCGCTTCTCACCATGCGGTAGGTTGTAGTATCAGTTTCTTTGATGTTAGCAGTCTCTTCAATCGGCTTCTGGCCAATAATCTCAACCCAGTATCCATCAGGGTCCAAGGCAAATGCAATGTGCTTCATACGCCCGTCGGTAAGCTTTTTCTGGAACTTGTATCCAGCATCCTCGATGCGCTGGCAAGCGGCCTGGAGGTTGTCGACGGAGATGCAAGTGTGGCCAAATCCTCGGTGAGGGTCTTTGTTTCCATTGTTGATAGTGTAGGTAGGGTCATTCTCAGTGCCGTAGTTGTGAGTAAGTTCGATGACGCCCTCGCGGTCAATGCCGGAGTTTCCAAACGAAACAGCACCCTTGTTATTGTAGGCCAGGAAGTAGAGATCAAACTTGGCTTCAGGGAATTCAAGCTTGCGGACTACGCTCATTCCAAGGAACTCGTAAAACTTGACTGAAGGGAAAGTAAGCATATGTTTTGCCACTCTGCGACGTGATATGACATGTATGATACAATGCGGAAAGCAGACTTACCAGACTCCTTTGGGTCCTTGACTCGAATCCTTTTGATTCCTTCATTAGTAAGAGAAAGAGACACGATATACACGCAGGATAATTGAAGCATACATCGAGTGATTGAACTTGTAGGTATTGAGATCCGTTTTGGCAGCCATGGTAGCGAAGCTGAATTGCTGTCTTACACGAAAAGAACTGTGCACGCTTTTTGCCCCTCGCAAATACTGATGGCGGGGTAGCTGGTGCAAGGCCCTGCAGAGAATGATGAAGGCGGGAAAATGCTCTCCTTGTGAAGGAGATGCAGGTCCTTTGAGTATTGGAGAAGCTGAATGCTCGACTCGTGATGCTTGTATAACAACGACAATAGAAGTTGAACAAAACAAGATGACTCGCTGTGAGATTTTTGTTTTGCTTTTATACTGAGGCAGCTCGGCTAATCTTGAGCCAGTCTCCGACGTCAGAGCTCCAGTTCGCAGCTGCCCCTCATGCATCCACCTTAGTCATCCAATCCGAGAGGGGCATACGGATGCGCTAGAACTATTTCAACAGTATGGGAAGTTGATTACTTGACAGGTTCTCGGTAAAGCGGCAATAGAGCAGAAGAATTGGATCCTCTCGCGCTTCAGAGACGGATTTAGGATATTAAAAGAGAAAACTATTGGGCGGAAAATTCATACAAGACAATTGGCTTCTTGATTGTCGGTCTGGGGGATGAGAATATTTGAAGCATGGCTTTGTGTGTTTGTTCCTCGTAGTGGCTGGTGCAACTTACTATGTAAGAGTTCCTCTAAGCTATGCGCATACATGCACCTTTGATCGACTTACAATGAGTCTTAATCTACCAGAAAAATTGAAAATATTCCATGTGTACTTGCTCTACTTCTCTAATTCTAGAATCTTGAGATGGAAAATTAACTTGCAAAGACCGCGAGAAGTAAAGATTTATATGCTCATTGTAAGGATGCTTATACTTAACGTGCGCTCTCTTGGCTTACACTCTTCAGGTGTAGATACACTGCGCTATGATGCAGAACAGCGCCCCATTTATACACAAGCCTGCATAGGTATCGTCTAAGAATTTTATCTATGATTCTGCTTTGCTCGTAACATTTTCAATTCTATTTGAAATCTAGGCTCAGCCACATCCTGAATCGAATCTAGCTTCTCTCAACTTCAAGCCCCGTAGATTCAAGCTGCGGTTATAAGCGGGGCCATAGACGCCTTAATCCTGTTAATTCTTGCTCAGCCTTGAATCCCTAAGTTTAGACATGGAAACGTTCATCATTCAGCCGTGTAACCCCTATAGCTACTGATGAGTAGTTGCTATGTGACAGATATTTAGCATCTTACGTGAGCTCGTCAACCCTCGAAAGAGTATGTGGAGATGCCAAATGTAGGAATACGCACATCGCTGCCAGGTCTATACGCCCAACGCCAGGAGTATACGCCCAACGCTGCCGGTATACGCACAAAGCGCACTGAATGGGGTGATGATGAATCAAATAAACTGAAAATCAAATAGACAAAAGAAGCAATTCGCGGTATTGGAACAAGTATAAGAAGGAGGTCTTGCCACCAAAGAGGAATGGATATCCCATCAGCCATCAGCACAGAGAGCATTGAAAGCATTCGACCTTGATATACTCTCTACTATTAACTCGCGGCAAAACAAGACACAATGAGTGGCCTTCTCCCTCTCGTTTCACTTGGAGCTCTGACTCTTGCTTCCACTGCACTGAGCGCCCCTACAGCCTCTGATACAGTCGCGGCCACCAAGCAATGCGTCCAACTCCAGATCCCCGTCTCTGTGGCGGCCACCAACTACCACTATGACCAACCCCCTGTTGACAGCAACATCGACGCCATAGACTGGACCGTGAACATTACCACTTGGAGCAGCTCCAACTGGACTGCTCGCATTACTGGACCCGTCAAGATCAACAAAACATACAACATCGGCGCACAGTTGTGCGTGCCGTCGCAGAAGACCAGTAAAGCCGGCATTTTGCAGATTGCAACCCCTGGCCTTGGGTTTGGCAAAGAGTTAGTGATGAATCCTATGGTTGAAAGCCAAATATGACGGATTGCTGATAAGTCTTTGATTTAGATACTTTGACGTGCAGATTGATCCTCAACAGTACTCCTACGTTGATGCCGCCATCAACAAGGGCTACTCCGTCCTCTCTTACGACCGTCTCGGCACCGGTGCATCTGATAAGCCAAACGCTTATGATGAAGTTCAGATTCCAGTGGAAATCGAGATCTTGGCCGGGCTGACCAAGATTGCCCGCGGCGGAAAGCTAATCAGCTCCTCCAAGGCCACCAGCAACGCAAGCGCTGCGTTCGACTTTACGCCTACCAAGATTGTTCATATCGGCCACTCGTACGGCTCTTATGTAAACTCGCTCATGCTCATCAACTACCCCGACATCATCGACGGCGCCATCTTTACCGCTCTTTACCCCAACAGCATCGAGGCCACCGATCCGCTCAACGCCTTGAACTACAACCACGATTTCGCCAAGGAGAGCGATCCCGCCCGCTTCTCCGAATACGGCTCGGGCTACTTCGTCTTGGATAATGAAGCAACTCTCCAGAAGCTGTTTTTCCAAAAGGCCTCCCTGGACCCGGCGCTGCTTACCTACGCAAACAGCATCAAGCAGCCCGAGGCCGTGGGCGAGTACTCTTCTGAAGAGGGCAACCCGCTCGCACCCGCTCCCGGTTACAAAGGCCCGTTGATGGTGAGTTTGGAGATCTCCAAATTGCTTAGATAAGATCTAGACGATTAACTAATTTTTTCTCTCACAGTTTTTCATTGGCGAGTTTGACAACTTCGTCTGCAATGGCAATTGCAACGGGATCTATAGCGAGGACTTTGCTCGCCAGCTTTACCCAGGCGTAGCCGCAAACGACCTTACCTATTACCTGCAGCCGAACACGGGTCATGCCTCCACAATGTCGAAGAATGCTTCTGCCGGCTATGAGGTTATGTTGGGCTTCTTGGATGCTCGAGGCTTGTAATTTGGGGGGCTCCCCTTTTCTTATATATCCCACAGCCCGCTTTGTTTCACCATTCGTAATACGGCTGATATCTACGTTCCACGCATGAAACATCTGCTTTTCTAGAATTTTAGACATCTGCGAGATAAACATGGTATTTAGCAACTTTAGTACTAGCGGAACATATACTTGATAGCTTCTTGAAGCTTAGCGTTGTACATTTATTTATTTATTTAATACAGCATATATAAAGCTTTGCGCTATCCTCAAGTTCAGCAGAACCAGACCTTGTAGTCGCTAAATTTATTTCTACTGGGTATTGTACTACAACTTGGTAGACTATGACATATGGATGCTTCATAAGCCGCTGGTTTTGTTACAGTAATTGCTACAACTCCGGTTATCGACTTCATATTCTGCCCTGTTTGGTTTAACGGTATAGCATGAGGCTCATGCAGCTGCTTACGGAGGCATGCCGGAACCAAGATGACCTGCATAAGAAGGAGACGCTGGGTCATCACGCGAAGCTGCGTACTACTATTCTGATTGCTTTATACATTCCGCCATTCGAATAGATGGTATAGACGAGTCCTTTTCCAAGTTCTTACTATCTAAGCCCCTTTTTACACCATGTAAATGCCATCAATCACTTATCTCATCAGCATCTCCAAAAAGTGTCGCTTACAGTTTATGATAATAGCGTCTATTTACTTCAGGCTATTGTTAAATTGTTGAGTGACATCTATCGATATCAGTATCTACACATCGTGTTTGCAATGGCCTTCTCCGCTTCCTGTATCAATTGAATAATGCCACCCTGCCCATTCTCCTTGGCCAACATAAGTGGTGTTTGGCCTTCGCCATATTTCAAGCCAAGATCAGCCCCATTCTCCAATAGCAGCTTAACAATAGCTTCGTGTTCCTCTGAGATAGCCATAGAAAGAGCGGTCTCACCCCCTTCATCTTGGACGTTAACATGTGCTCCCCACTTCAACAGCAAGATGACAATATTGTCATACCCGCCAGCTACGGCCAACATAAGCGGCGTTCTACCAAGATTATCCGGTGCGTTAATTTGGGCCCCAGCTGCGAGTAATAACATCGTAATACCTTCATGTCCAATTGATGCAGCCCTTTGTAGCGGTATAAAGCCATATCGGTCTTTCAAATTAACGTCAGGGCCACTTTCAGTTAATAGCGCAACGATTTCTTCCTGCCCTTGGACAACGGCCAAGGACAGAGGCGTTCCACCGCCTTCGTCTTTTCTATCGGCCTTAGCTCCATATTTGAGCAAAAGCTTAATAATGTCTCGGTGTCCGTTTAAGATAGCCAGCGATAATGGCATTCTACCAGTGCATTTAGACCTTGCATCGGCTTTGGCTCCATTTCGTAAGAGCACCTCGACAGTGTCATAATGACCTTTCGAAATAGCCAATGACAGCAAGGATAGACCATAATATACTTCGCTCGCTTGGGCCCCATTTTCAAGCAACGATCTGACGATATCTCGATGTCCATTTAAAACGGCTAATGATAGCGGCGTGACGGTATAGTAATCGATGGCTCCCCGATAAAGCCTGAGTTGCTGCTTCAAGCAGGATTGAACGTACTCTGTGTCTCCCTCCATTATGGCTGATAAAAATGGCGATTCGATAATTTTATAGTCATTTGCATGAACTTCGGCTTTGTGTTCCAATATCAATCTGAGAATGCTTTGGTCTTCAATAGAAGCGGCTAACAACAGAGGCGTTTTACCAGTGCTTCCGTCTTTTTCATCAACTTTGGCCCCATTTTCTAGCAGCAGCTTAACAATGTTCTTGTGTCTGCTTTCAATGGCGAATGACAGCGGCATCTTGTGTTCTGGCCTTGCTGGGTTAATCGACGCACCCGCATCTATCAGCAGCTTAAAAATGTCCTCATATCCATCTTTAGCGGCTAGACATATCGGAGTCTCGCCAACAGCATTGAATTGGTTGATATTGGCACCCCGAGCGAGCAACATCTCCACCGTTGCCTTCTTACATCTACTGACTGCGTGATGCAATGGCGTCCAGTCAAAGTCATCGCCCCTGTTCACCTCGACATTGTCTCGTGTTAGCAGCAGCCACATATGATCCTGCGACGACGAGCTTGCTGTTGTTGACACCGCTTCTACCCGGTCAAAGTGCATCAAACTTTGCAACAAGTTATCGTCGTAGACTTCGTATAGTGTATTGTCGTCACGTTTCCGTTTCTTCAAATTGCTCGATTTCAGTACGGGTGTTGTTCTTCCTGATTGAATACATATTGTTCTCATCGGATATTGCGAGGGCCTGTGTTTTCTTCGATCAAATTCCTCGAGTTTGTCGCTCATGACCCTTTCAAATGTCTCCATTGTGCCAAACAAATCTCTTGCATAAATGGCAACCGGCTTATCCTCACTCTTCCTTTTGCAGTGAAGAATTGCGAGACCCAATCTCTGGGGGCCTACCCCGATAAAGCGAACTTTCAAGTGGATTCCTCTACTATTTATAGTGAAAGCGGTATTGTGATCGTTGAAAGGATTGAATTGGACTACATCTCCAGATTCTTTAAAAGCTTCGGGGGAGGTAGCCAGCAACCCACCACGAGAGTCTGAGGATTTCCACGCAAAGAGACTATCATCGTGGGATATCCTCATGATTTCTTCCTGCAGTCTTAAAAAAGCTTGCTCGCCTTCCCCATATATTAGTGGCATATGAATACCAAATGTTCCCATCAAACAATAAGCACGGTCTTCAAGTCGTTGCGTTTTTCTTTTCGAAGCCCATGACATTCTTTGTGCAACACTAGCTGTGTCAAGATCATCATCGCCGCAGAGGATTTTGACAGGTATGCCAGTGCAGTTTGATATATCCTGTTGCCGGCTCGTCTTAGTTCCGATATAGTCCCAGTTCTCATCTACAAAATGAATGTCTGATGGGGCGAGCAACTCTTGCAGGGTCCAGCCTCTTGTAAACCACTCGCTGTCCTTAAAGGTGGATTTTGATGGCACATCTGCAAGATGGGCATAGCATCTCTCGGCCTGATGGTACCAATTAAACATGGAGTTGATTGCTTCTGACAGTTCACTTGAACTTTCCTTGTTTATACAAACAGTGTCGATCCAGACATAGTCGAATCCGTCAGCTTTGGCTTTGGAACAGCATTGTCTCACTTTTTTGAACCCTTCTTTCCTCTCTTTTGCCTCTGTCTTCGCTTCCAAGTCCTGGTAGGTTAATTCCTCTCTACCCCATCTATGTGATAAGATAGCGTACGGGGGCACATCGCCGTATTCGAACGTTTGAAGCTCAATCGTGTCGGTTTTGAGTAGACGCATAGCTCTAATTATGTTCAATTGAAGATAAGAGATATCCGACAGTGGAAAAAACAAAGATGCAAGGTCCCGCTTCAGGGGTGAGGGGGCGGTGTACTGTAGCTTGCATCGATGTAAGCCGCTTTCAAATGATCTCATTGGACAGGCATAAGTCCCCGTAAGCCTCACCAAGTAAAGCACAAAGAGTAATCAAGGGAGTAATTGTCTGGTTTTGAAAAGAAAATATGTTTATTTGTGGAAGTCATATTATTAGATATATATTTGTGCCTGCCGCATCAGTTTATAGCCCTACTTAACCTCGTGCTTCTGGCCAACGCCTTTAGTAATCCTCTGGCTTGCGGCCCACCATCAGATACATTGGCGTAAACAGCTTCTTCTTCCCTCCTTCGACAAGTGCATCTGCCGCCTTTCCAAGACTCTGAGCAGTCTTCCTCGTACCAGACGGAGCAATTCTCAGCAGCTCCAAAATCGAGATGAAAGCGTGTGATATCTCTCTGCCGAAGCGATTCATCCTCAAGACTGTAAACACATCCGCCAGCGTCTGCGCGTAGCGAAGGTCAGTGCCCAGAGGCCAGTACCACGGAGCAACGCTGGTCTCGTTTGCGTAATCCTCTGCGAGGTCGTAGTGGGTTTCGAGAGTGAAACCTGCGCCTTGGATTGCGGCAAGGCCGTCTTCGACTTTGAGCATTTGGGCAATACCATCGCCCTCCTCGATATCGAGACGGATTTGACGATGAGTTAGATCGTCATTGTTATAGGCATCTGTCATGAACCATTCGTAGACGCCAAATACGCCGCCTGGTTTGAGGACGCGGAAGATTTCTCTGTATGCGCTTTCGAGGTTCGGTGCGTGGACTGTGGCTTCGATTACGTATACGGCATCGAACGAGTTATCGGGGAAGGGTAGGTTCTGCAAAGTACAAAGCGTGTTAATCATCTGTAGCTGGTTTTTTTTTTTTTTTTTTTGCTGGCGTAGAAGGGAATACACTTACCATGAAGTCTCCCTGAACGAAATCAAGCTTGTGAGTAAGCTTTTCCTTGACCGCGTATTGCTTAGCTCGGCTGATTTGGTAGTTATTGATATTCAAACCGGTGACGTGGGCTCCAGTAAACTTGACGATTTCTCGTGCTGGACCTCCAACGCCACAGCCAACATCCAACACCCTCATGCCAGGCTTGATGCCAATGGTGCTTGCTAAAAAGTGTTCGTGTCGAGCCACGGCCTGGCCGAATCTCTCTCCATACGCAAATCTGCAAAAGTGGAATGCCTCGCCCCAGCCATATTCATAAAGATCGGTCGCCAAGTTGTAATACCTGTTTGGTACATCCCGAGTTAGCAACAATCGTTTTTAATGAGGAAAAGAGCACAGAAAAGGGTCTTCGTACTGTCTAGTTAGGCTTGCATAGTCGGCAACTCGTGATTGTCGAACCTCTTCGGTCTCGTCTTCAGCTTTCTTGTCATCCCAGTGCTGAAAGTATTCAGCAACAGCTGCCTTGTGGGCCTCGTTGTCTTTATTAATCATGGCACTGAGGCCGCCTTGAGAAGTTGACGAGCTTTTGTGTAGGATTTTATCAAAGGCCATGTTTTTGACCTGGTCAGCCGGAAGCAGTGCTTGAGTTTCGGTGCTTTTAGCACAGAGGGCGACTTGAGAGTTTGACGAGCTTTGATGCAGCATTTTGTCAAATGCCTTGTTTTTGGACTTGTCTGCCCGAAGAAGTGCTTGAGTTTCGGCCATTGTTGATTTGATTGTAGGACAAAAGATAGGGCAAGATGGGAGGTTAACAGGATGATTTGAAGAGGGAACGTAAAGATGATGAGGATCAAAACAGAGAGAGTTCCTGATTCTTATACTTGAATACAATATCATTTCATCTCTATCATCTTGACTTGATTAATGAATTACACAGCTGGAGGCAGTCTTGCCGCTCTCGTATAACAAGCGCTGCCGAACACGAATGCGACATCCGATATACGCGTATAGGTACATGAAGGATGTATTTATACGCGTATTTCTTACAAATACGCGTATACGTATCAAGGCCACTCAAGAGCTACCCAATCAATCATTCATATCACTCTGAATTATGGGGGTTTACAAGGATGTAACAGACACCGCCCGTATTATCTAGGGCGTGAAACTATGATACGCGTAAATGTAATCTCGATGGTGCATCTTGAGGTGTTTTCGGCGGTCAGAGCCGTATTACAAACCTGAAAAGGTACTCCTGCTCACGGAGAAGCTGCTGTAAGGAGCGAGTGGCAATTCATTTAATGGGTTTAATCATAGATGAACGCGTCAGTTGATATTGAATCCCCTAAATCAGTAAGTGTGCAGATATGGTGTAATTTTACTTGTCCCATTGACTACAGCGGAAAAGCAGAAGTCCATTTGCTCCATTGGGCTAGTGGTTCATTCACTTTGTGCTATATGAAGAAGAGGCTTTGCAGTATCTCCTTTTGATTGCATTGAAGATCCGTAATTTCTCATAGACACTGTGGCAATATGTCAATTAATGCAATTTACGCCCATCTCTGGCTAGAGTAACATACTCCCGATTATCGGCAGCTCTTGTGACGGCGTAATCTCTAGATAGGTGTTAATTGTCCAATAGAGTACATGTAACTCAAGATGCAATAATCAAGAGGATTTACTAGATATCTCCGCCCCTTTTCGCATGAGCAAAGCCCCTCCCGCATATGTCTCTCGTAGGCTAGCCGCTTTCTCTACTCCAAGATCGAATAGCCCCTTTTCTTCTCCATTGTACAAACTGCTTGTTAAAAACAATTATTCCATTTGGGTCTATTCATAATAATAGCCCAATCTTAGCGTTGAGATCTTCTTGTCTCGCTCAATGTCGGCGTAACCACGAGTTGCGCTGTGGCTATGCGAATCCGGAGAGTCGGCGATCGCTGCCCTCAATTTACGCTTGTACGTGGCTGATGCTTGAGCAAGAGAAATGTTATCTAGCGTCTCAATTCTATTATCCAGCACTCTAGCTATAGCATCCATACGTGCGTGTAGGCTAATGGGTACTGCTGCTACTGCTGCTACTACTGCTACTACTGCTACTACTGCTACTACTGCTACTACTGGTGTTATTTCAAAGTGTTTTGACAGTGTATCTTTATATGTGGATTGGCTGCCTTATTGAACTACAGCTGGGGTGTTGAGTAACCAAACTGGAGCTGGATAACTTCTCCCTTGATTAAGCGAGATCAACTACCACGGAGAGACGAATTTCAGGGAAATGCCATGATTGTCCAGGTACATCATGGCTTGAAGAAGTATGGCAACCTCGCCGCGGTTAGATTGTGGTAGAAAAGAATTGAACGTTAAGATGAAAGAACAGCTTGATGAATAATATTCAAGACTAGGAATATAACTTTTCAAAATGATGTATCGATAACGCAAATGCTATTTTTCCCCAAAGCTTTTCAGAAACATTACAATTTCGTAACCGCATAAATATGTCTTTAGTACCCAAAGTCCTCCCAAACCACATCCTCACTCTCCAACCAACCTCTCAATGTAGCCAATAGTGACGCTCCCGTACATAGATAGAATTTCTTTCCACCTCCCACTACGCCTTCAAAATCCCTGGTATTAACCCGTCGCTCCTCCACCGTCGCTCCCCGCTCACTGATTTTCTCAATCAGCTTCTTAGTCTCACTTGAAGCGAGCGATCCTGTCGCAAAAGTGGTGCTCCTTTCTGCCAACCCGGGGTTCTTGTCAAACGTGTGAATCGCCAGGGGAAGATCCTCGCCGCGTAACGTCCATAGCAACGTCAACGGGACGGATGCGTCGAGCACGGCTTTGGCTTGAGCGAGGAGGGGCGTGATGCCGACGCCGCCGGCGACGAAGACGGGTTCTTTTGCGGCAGGCGTGGCTGTGGGTAAGTGGAAGGCGTCTTTACCGCCGAAGCCCATGACGGAGATGTCTAATGGAGACACGGGGTTGTGGCGCCAGAGGAATTTCGTGACAGGGCCGTGGAGGCGGGCGGTTATTTGGAAGAGGTCCTTTGAGGGGAGGGAGCCTGGCGGACTGGAGACGGTGAAGGTACGGACGTAGTCGTCGTTGAGGGATTGGGGGTCACGATCATTCATGTGGGCGTAGCCGTTGCTAAGTTCGGTTTCGAAACCCATGGTGATGTGGTGGCCTGCTTGCCATTGAGGCATGTCGCGAGGGTTCGTCGTTTCGAGCTTGAATGTGAAGACGGCGATTGTCGGAGTAAGAATCTCCCGATTTACCAGAGTGGCGGTGATATCTGGACTGTCTGCAGATGCCAAGGCGGGCGCTCTTTCGGAGAGGAGATATCGGACGGGAGGGTTGTAGGGAGAAGGCTCGTTGGGAGTGCCGCGGAAGGGGAGGCTGGCCTTGACGAGGTGAGAGGCCGAGACGGTGATTTTGACAGCCATGTTGGAGCGTGGGAGTAGGGCGGCGGCTTCTTTGCCTAGGAGGATGGTGGATTCGCCGGTGAGGTAGAGGGCGTCGGAGGTGTCGTAGTCGGGGATGACGAGGCCGATGAGGGGGTTGACTTTGAGATTTCCTAGGGATTGGTATAATCTGTTTCCAGAGTCTGGGACGTCGTGTTAGTATCGATTCGTATGACGAGGATGTAAATCAACAGATGGAGATACTTACATTCTGGATACACCAACTCCACTCCGCCTTCATCATTCTTCAACACTCTGATGAAACCCCTCGGTCCTCCTCTGTGATTCGTGTCCATGCTATCCCCATTTGTGCTCGACAGAAAGAACATGTCTGCCTTCTCAATTAATTCGATTGCCTCTGGCGGTAGAATCCCGTCTGGGCCACCAGGTATCAACTCGGGCTGAGGCACAATCGGTTCCAGGGCCTTTTTGTTAATGTATTTTGGACAATTGCCGAGAGACTCCATTATGTGGAAAGCCAGCTGGACTTCGCTGTCGGGGCCTGGCATGTCGCCTCCAGCAATGAGACGGCCGGCGAGCTTGACGCGATCGCGGGTTTCTAAATCGATGCTTAAAGCGCTCATCATCTTGCCGCCCTCGGGCCTTATGATGCCCTCTTCGTCCGGCTCACTACTCACTTTGCTTTCGGACGATTTCCAGAAAGCGCCATATACAGGATCATACTCCTTATCCACAGCACTTCGAATACCCAGAACTCCCTCCGCCACGGGCCTCGCAAACCCTCTCTCACCACCCCAAATCGTCGTCCACGGCCTCCCTTCATCGTCCAGTGTTCCGAGCGCAAGAAGCTGTGAATGCATCACCCGCACCGCATACGGCATGGGAAGTCCGTCCGACGTCGGGTTTTCAAAGCGAGGATTGCGGGTTTCGCGGTGCATGGCGCGCTCGCCGCTGTGCCAGCCGCCGGATATGAGGGACGGCATTGCGGCGTCGATGAGAATAGAGGCGTTGGTGCTGATGAAGCTGAGGGGAGTAATTGGCAGGGACAGCAGTTGTGTAAGGTTGTAGGATATTTGGGAGAGGAGCATGCCTTTTCATAACATAGCGGAGGTTTGAAGAGAGGAGGAAAGGAAGAGAAATGAGATGAGGAGCTACGAAATTAAGAGAACTACAGCTGGAAAGCAACGCAACTACTAGAGAGAGAAAACAGCGTTTACTGAATTGAGACAAGCAGCGGCGTGACATCTACTCCAATACCTACCAAAAAAGATGCCGCTGCGGCGCTGTCTGGAGATACTGACAAATCATCCGGGCGTAAATGCACCCTAGGGATTTTCAAGTTAAAGGTACCCTCATTCGGTGACGTCGATGCTAGCGCTGATTACTTTACTGATCCAAGCTTAAAAGCTGGAGAAGAATGAATCTCCCCGCATAGAGGGCTGAGGAATCCTGGTGCTTGGCGTCCGTATGTGGAATCTTTCTGCGAATTGTCATGTACCATCTCAGTTATGTCTTAGGCCTAGTATTTGTCTTTATTGGGGAGGCAGATAAGATGCTTTTATCTTTTGATTTGAATCTTCAGGTATGCTGATGATGATGAGAGCACAATACAGATGGAATCTATCCTCAACGCCCATCGCCTTGAATTAACCACGGTACCTGTATTTGGATATAGTGTTATTGAGTGCCGTCCTAGGCAGCCTGCTTAATCCTTTCCTCGCCAGACGCCTTACGTGTATCGTAGATCATGATCAAAATAAAAGTAGTTATATGAGTTAAATAAATAAGGACAAAGGGTTTGTTTTTAAGTTCCGAACCTGCCGGGACACGTATTAGGAGGTAGGCTAGCTCTAATATCTACCATTGCTCTGCGCTTCAACATCATAGCTATAGGATGCTCCCGTTTGAGCCTGAGGGGCATTATAGTAGTCCTGGGTATTTTGGCGGACCGGTGGTCTGATGCTGGGCGGCAAACGCTGTCCGGGGTAGGAATTGTCTGCTGGTGGCGGCCGATTGGGATTGGACATTGGCTCAGTCATTTGCCGCTGAGGGGAGAATCGCATTCCGCGCAGAGGCACTTGGTTTGACGAGCTTGTCGCGCTTCGCATGGGCCCCTGTGGTGCTCTGGAGTATGTCGACCCAGCGGTAGATGGCGCTGGGCTGGATCGGCCCTCGTTGTTAAAGGTGTGTGCCCTTGGAGGCGGGCCTCTCCGGAATTGGTTGTCGTCCTGTATTTGCTGGTTTACGCCGTAGTTGTCAACGAATCGAGACGGGATGGGCCTTGCCGATGGCGCGTACAGCGGGGATCCTGCCGCCGAACCCATGTTGATAGGGCTCTCAGTGAACGGCTGCTGGCGATACGAGGAATTGGAGGTGGTCCTCATATGGTTCAGGTCCGGTCGACCGCCGCCACTGGTTCTGAATGAGTCTCCCGTTCCAGCTCTTTGAAGATGTGGCATGGCGGGAAGCATGTCCTCTGGCGAGGCTGACCTTCCATTTGAGTATCCCATATCGGCCGCTGAACTGATCAACGGAGCTCGAGCCGAGTAGTTCGAGGCCGTGGTGGCTCCCGTCATACTTCGCTGCGGCATTGGGCGCTTGAAGTCGTTGACAGGGGTGCCCGGACTCGAGGTGTAGGTCGGCAAAGGTGGATTCATGCCGACACTCTGCGGCGCCGCGAAGCCGAGGTTTGGCAAGGTCGGGAGCGAGGCGTCTGGATGTGCTTCGCCTTTTTCGCTCATGGCTGCCTTCATCCTGTCGACTTGGCCCTTGGCAAGCGCCTTGTTGACAGTCTTGGTGACAATCTTGAGCAGGGAGTTGTTGACCTTTCGCTCACAGTAGCCGGTGAGGCCACCATCGTCACGAGGAATCCAGTGAAAGAGGAAAAAGACGTAGAACAGGGTAGCGGAAATCAAGTATAGGGCCGAAAAGACCCAGACGACCAGAGTAAAGCACATGCCTCCGAGAATGGCAGCTTGTCGAAAATCAGATTGCGCGAGCGTCTTAATCTTGTCGAAGAAAGAGGAAAGGGAACCCTCGACCGAGCTCTCAGAAACAGCGAGCTTTGCCATATATACGGATCGTAGGGTGAGCGCATTGACGACTTGACGTGGGCTAGTGCAAAAGATGACACGAATCCATGCTGTATAAGTGAAGATTGTCAGTAAAGATGAGATGAGACAGCCAAGAAATAATGACTGATACGCACATTGAAAGCTAAAGTATGTAAACAGGGCAATATACTCGGCGCCCTTTTTACTCTTTGTGAGCTCCGAAAAGACGAGGAATCGTCTGAACCCTTGCCCCGAGCCAAGACGAATAGACTCCCAGCGCACAGCAAGGCTGTCCAGATAGACCTCAGCAACGTTGCCTCTCTTGATCTTTCGAGCAGCGCGGATCCATTCGAAGCCGAGATTGATGAAAGACAGGATGATGCAGCCCGAGAAGATCCATCTTGAAATGTCAATGGGAATGGCCGGGTCGATTTCGGACGACCATCGATTAAAGACGAGGAGCTGGACGGCAGTGAAGGTGTCGACTCCGTAGACAGCGAGTGAGATGATGAGGCCAATCCAGAGGGTGATGTAGGCGAAGACGGGACCGCAACCCTTGGCCTTGAAGTCGCCGAGGTTGATGTAGTCCCATTTCTGGTCGGTGTATTGCCGGACCTCTTTGCTGCGGTGAGTGAGGCAGCCCATGTTGTCGGTATTTGGTTGATGTTATGCGATTGATGGCCACACGTGATGCAGTGGAAAGCCGAAATTTGGAGTAATGACACGTATAAAAAGACGAAAAAAGAGAGGGAATGAAGTGAGATACAATCTCGAACAAAAAAGGCAAACAATCCAATTGTCCCGTAGAGAGCGTATTGTACGGTCCTGCCGACAAAAAAAGCACTCGTCGTCCCTCGCCTGCGAAGATGCGACGGCGCTGCCTTAGCAAAAAGACACAAGAGAAAAAAAGAACGACGGAACCAGCGATGAAAGATGCACGCTGCGAACCTGAAAACAGGAAAAAGAAGAAACAAAAGAATAAAAACGACTGGCGTTTATTCAAGAAGAGAACCGCCAAAAGCGCCAACGGACTGGCATGAGTGGGCAAATCTACTGCAGCTAAGAAAAGAAGCGCGGAGGGCCCTTGATTCTTAGACAAGGCCGCTGAGAAGTGAGACCAGCGCCAAAAACGTGCAGTTTGTCCACCCCAGCCCGTCAAAAGGGCGAATTGGGATCGGCCAGCGAAGAGGATGCGGCTAAAAAAAAAGAGAAGAAGCGGAATGGAGAAGAAAGAGAGAGGAAAAAGAGGAAACGAGTGAATGGTTGGCTGGGCTAAGAGCAGAGAGACATCGAGAGGAACGGAAGGGTGGCCTTGGCGTCGCAGAATGAGCCCCTTGAGCGTGTGTCAAGATGGCTGGGGGTGTGTTTGGAGTATTGGAGGACTATTGTGTGGCGATGGCCAAAAGAAGCAGCAGAGCCGTGGGGAGAAAGCTGTTAGCGGTTAAAAGAGTGAAAGGCGCTGAATAGCGATAATTGTTATTGTTTTGACAGCATTGTTGTTGCTAAAGTGAAGTGAATGAGGATGAGGATGGAGATGGCTATTATGAGAGCAACTACCAGTGGGTACATGTAGCATTGATATCCAGTAGTGCTGTTGTCAATGGCATTGCTACATCATCTAGCTGGAGCAGACGAGTGAAATGAGATGAAAGCTCTGCGCTAGCCACTATCTCCAAGTACATTATGCTTGGTTCGCAATAGAATGAGATGAGATGAGATGAGGCATCACCAAACTATTGGACATGGAGGGGGTCACGCATGTACTTGTCGCCGCAGCATTACCGCCGCGTCTATGCAAGTCACTCCCCTGCTCCCCTGTTATCGCTGGCTCGCTTAACGCTATTCCCGGCCAAGAACCCTCAACTCTAGGTTGTCTCTCTCTGTCTGCACGTCTTTTGCTCTCCCGCTGCCGCAATCTCTCAGGCCTCGCACTTTAGCGCCCCCC